TGATTTTTTGAAATTTTCAATGTTTAGTAGTGACTTAGAAAATAAGTCAATGAAAAATATTTTTCAGTCAACAGAAAATCAAGAAGCAATTTTTGAAAGTTGTTTTTCAGACTTAAAAACACTTGAACCTGTAGCTGGTCTTCATGAACTTATATGGGTTTTCAAGGACTTTTGCGAGTCTTCACTCACAAAAGCAATAGTCCTTTGTCTACATTATCTTCTCCAACAATTCAAGCCTACTCCATTCCTTTTTGTGGAAATGTGACTTCTGTTTCTAGTTCATAGACTAGATCGCATATCTCAATTCCATCTATTAGAGCTGCAAAACGCCCTATAGTTTCCTTCTTCTCTAGTTAGTGCACATACTTTATTAGTAAACTATAAATCTCTCTATCATCGATTACTCTACGCATCTATGTGTTCAAAAAGTTGAATCTTTGTGTCTACATGAGAGTTTGGATACATTAGCTGGTTTAATAGTTTGATTGCTTGTTATTTGTATATGGGTTTTTTAAGTTTTAGTGTTTCTAATCACTTTGAAGTAAGATTTCTTGGTAGAAGTTAAAACCAACTATAGTTCTTCTTCTTTCAATTTTTGTTCATTATTCCTTGTACTTACAAATTGTTCAAAGCCCTCCTCTTAAAAATAATAACAAATTATTGCACTTAACATTTGAAATGCCTTCGTTAAATGGGTGTTATAGATGGTGTTGGGGTTGTGTTAGACGAGGGATGTAAATGTAATGAAAAGTTAAAGTTGAGGAAGGATTTTGAACAATTTGTAAGTAGGGAGAGAACAATGAACAAAAATTAAAAGTAAAGGGACTATAATTGGCCTAACCCTTTTGGTTAAATCACAAGTTTTATGAAACTTGAAGGCAGGGAACCAATTTTATTAGAAAAAAAGGGTAGTTTTTGTATTTTTGGATTTGTGATTTGGCTAGAATTTTGTTTTTTGGATACTTGGTAGAATACCCTAAAAGTATTTGATAAAATGCCGAAATTTTGAAGATTTTTTACAATTTATCAAATAATGTAAAATATTTTTCATAAAAAGTATTTCCAAATATTTCACATATTATAAAATTTCTTTCATGAAATATAAATTTTAAAAATAAAATCATTTTTTTGGCAAACCAAACATATTTTAGTTTCATCAACAATTAATTAATTTATTTTCTTCACGACAATTTCAAAACCCCTTAATTACTCCGTAGACCCTCCATATTTTTATCTCTCTTTCAATCAAGGCCCCACCACTCACCGTTTCAAGGGAACTCCTGATTTGTTTATTCAACCATCCCTCATCGAAATTTTCAAACAAATCTCAGCCGTCCGATCAAAACATCGCTTTGACTCCCACTGGGTCACCCGGTCACCTTCACCTTCTTTAAATCACCCCTTGCTTCTCCTCTCACATCCCCTTACTCCCTCCCTCCCTCATCACTTCTGCAGCAGTCATTCATCCATGGCGGTGGATCTGATGAGTTTCCCGAAGATGGATGATCAGATGGCGTTACAAGAGGCTGCATCACAAGGCTTGAAGAGCATGGAGCACCTGATTTGCCTCCTTTCTAACCAATCTAATCAAGCCGTCGATTGCTCCCATCTCGCCGACCACACCGTCTCAAAGTTTAAAAAAGTCATCTCCCTCCTGAACCGGAGGGGCCATGCTCGGTTCAGACGAGGACCGGTGCAAACCTCTTCGGCATCCACCTCATCACCGTCGTCATCCTCACCTCCTCTTTCTGGACATCCTATTTACCAGAAAGTATCTTTAACTCTGGCTCCGGTTGCATCTCCGGTGAAAGTACCGGCGGCACCGGTTCCAACAAAAGTGGTAGCCCCTCCCACGCCGGCTTCTGTTCCAAGTTTCGCGCAATCTCAGCCGCAGCGTATGACTCTAGACTTCACTAAGCCTAATTTGTTTACCTCAAACCCTAAAAGTTCGGAGCTGGAGTTCAGTGTTTCCTCGAACTCCTCGTTCATGTCATCAGCTATCACCGGAGACGGAAGCGTTTCAAACGGGAAACAAGGATCCTCAATATTCTTGACACCGGGCCCAGCCGTTTCCGCAGGCAAACCGCCTCTCTCTTCCGCACCGTACAAGAAGAGATGTCACGAACATGACAACTCCGAGGATGTCTCTGGCAAGCGCTCTGGCTCCGCCAACGGAAAGTGCCATTGTTCAAAACGAAGGTAAGCGGTGCTCTTTTCCCCCGGCGTATTTTGGCAATTAGTTTTGCTTTTGACTGACTCAGAACACATGACTTTGTCAGAAAATCCATGGCGAGCGATAGAAAGTTGACTTTCCCAAGTCGACTCAGTTCTGACTCATTCAATTGGCCGAGTCAGTTTTGAGACTCGGACGAGTTGGATTTTTGTTTAAATAATAATTTAGTAAATTAAAAAAAAAAAAAACGTGGCCAAATTTTCAACCTCGATATTAGTAGTATTTTGTCTTTTGTGACGTGTGCATGTTAGACCCGTCTTTTACGGTTTTGACTGTGGGCCCGGCGCCTTCTTGATGGTGGCGGTTGAGGCGCACATAGGAAAATAGAAAATTAGAAAGCAGTTCTCTAGAAATAATTATAATTTTTATATTGACGTTTTGTTTTGTTTTTTTTTTAATGAAAAATTTTCAGGAAAAATCGAGTGAAGAAAGTAGTTAGAGTACCGGTGATCAGCAACAAATTTGCCGAAATTCCACCGGACGAGTATTCCTGGAGAAAGTACGGCCAAAAGCCAATCAAGGGCTCGCCATATCCACGGTAATTATTCTCCTCTGTACTTTTCAACCGTTTGATTAGATCAGATCACGGGAAGGATATGTCTGATGGGAATTATTAAAATGTCTTTTTCAGTGGGTACTACAAGTGCAGCACCATCAGAGGATGTCCGGCGAGGAAGCACGTGGAGCGTGCCGTAGATGATCCGACGATGCTGGTTGTGACGTACGAAGGGGAGCACCGACACACTCAACCCGCGCTGCAGGATAACCTTCCACCTGGATTGGGACTGGTTTTCGAGTCAACGTGAAGGGATTGAATATTGAAAAAACCGAAAAAAAAAAAAAAAACGACAATAGACTTTTGTACTACTAAAATTATTATGTGGTTTGATGTAGTTTCGGGGGCTGGAATGTAAATTGGCTTTTTGTTTTTGTATTTGTTTTTATTTTTTAAAAATCAAAATTTGACTCTCCAAAGCCAGCGATTCCAAGTAGTTTAATGTTTTTTTGTTTTTTTATGAAAGAAAGTATTATTTATTTATATTTTTATATTTAAAAGTTATATTAATTTTAAAGTAATTCAAAGTCAAGTAGGTTGCACTTCGGAAGCGTTTTAAGGGTTTTTTTTTAATAATACTTATTTATTATTTATAAAATTAAAATTTAAGATTTTATTTAATAAAAATTAAGTTATTTTTTATTTAAACTAATAAATTAAAATTTAAGATTTTATTTAATAAAAATTAAGTTATTTTTTATTTAAACTAATAATTTATTGGTCAAGAGGTTGTGATGCGTAGATGTGATGAATTAAAAAATAAGAGATAATTGGTTTGTGTAACTCAAAAGTCATTAAAATAAAGTTTGACCGTCCAACCAAATTTCATTAGGTTAGTGATGGTGCAAATTAAAAATTGATTGATTGATTTAGTTGAATATTTAGTACCATCATATCATGAATTATGAATGAATTGGAATCCAAGAGAGTCAATGAGATGGAGGGTGGTGGGGTGAGGTATGTGTCAAAATTGGAATTATATTCTCCTTTAATTAGGGAGGTGACGGGTCAGTGATGAAACGGAGAGAAAAAAATGTGGTGGTCCCTATTAAATATTTATAATAATTGAACTTATATTTTTGGCATAGCAATATAATCTTTTGGAGATTGGAATTTGATCTTCATGGTTTGAATAAGGGTGGTATTATAAAGATAATTTTTATATGTTATTAAATGAGTGAATGCATTTAATATTATAAGTTTTACATAAATTAAAAAAATTAATAATTTTAATAACATATAAAGTTATATAATTAAAAAGATGACACAAAAAGGTTACACAAAAATCATTTCCTTTAAATAATTGAAAATTTGAAAATTATTGAGAAAATTGGATGGGTAAGTGCTTGAGTTTGTGGTTGTGACGTATTATTTAGAGATGGTGAAAGTTGAGACATTATTGTGGTGGATGAAGGTAACCACATTTAGGTTAATGCCATTAGGAGCATTGAAAAGGATGCAATGGAGTGACCTTATGGATTGAGATATTGTGTGATCATGACTTGAATTGAATTGAAATTTCATCTATGAATAACAGGCCTAACCCATCAACGTTTTGAACGTTGACTAATGAAAGCATTATTTTCTGGTGAGAATTTTTTTTTCTTTTTGAACAGATTTTCTGGTAAGAAGTTGACTAATGAAGCCAGCTGGATGGAAATTTTCTTTGTTGTTGTCATGACACGTTATTTTCTTCTTTTAGAGAAAGAAAATTATAACAAAAATCGATTAGTCTAATATGTGTTATAAGGGCATAAATTAGAAATATAATAAATATATTTTTTATAATTAATTTACATTAAAATTATAAAAATTGATATTTATTTTAATACCATTTATATGTAAATGATTTTAATTAATTAATTAATTAATTTAATATCAATATTTATCATTTTTATATAAATTAATTATAAAAAATATATATTAATTATACTTAGTTAAAAAAATCCAACAAATATTAGCTTCGTTATTTTCTTCTCTAAGAAAAAATGAGCATATCTTTAATGAACCGCGGATGCATATGGATTAATTAATGACCTTTTTTTTTTTTTTTTTTTGGTCTTTTCCACATCTTATTGAGGTTTTCAAGTATAGTGCATCCAAAAGAAATACATTCTTTTTTCTTCTTTCAAGTTTGGACGGTTGGGATATATTTAGAGTTGAGGCCTATTTGGTTTGGAAAAAATGCAAGAATGATCTCTTCTTTTATTTTGATAAGTTAAAACAAATAAAAATAATAAAAATAAGAATTTATATAAAGAAGTAACTTTCCTCCTTTCTTATCTCTTATACTCTATTTCCCTTGTACAAAGAGGTTGTTTGGATTAATTGCTTTGATATGGTTGATAGTTTATAGTTAATATTTAATGATTAATAATCATTATTATTTATAATTCAATGTATTTAAACCATTTAATTAAATGTAACAATTAATAACTATTTTTTAACATCTAAAACAAACACCCCTTACATCTTTCATTGTGTTTGTATTGAAACTAATGGGAAAACTAATGTTTAAGAGACTTAAAACGAAAGAAAACGGCTAGTGATTTCAAATAAATGTAGAATCAATTGCTTGAAACGTAAGTGTTAAAAACATGACTTCATTCCAAGTACTAGTATTTTCTAATTCATTAATAATAAAATTATTTTTTTTCCGAAATTTCCTTTTTAACCAACAAAAAAAATCATCCACTTTTTTCTTTTTTCTTTGAAAAAAATTCATCTTAATTTTTTATACAACTTATATTAAGTTAGGCTGTTGGAGTATTGGACAAGCATAACTTCTTTTCCCGAATTTCCCACTTCGAGCGTTAAACCAACTCGGAGGCAAAAAAAAAAAATCTCGATTAGTATATTATCTTTTTCATTTACAATTAGTAAAAAGTTTGGCCAAAAAAAAAATCTACAAGTAAAAAGAAATTTTTCCATTAAGAAAATGAGAAAATGTATAAAAAATGATATAATAATAAATACAAATTTATAATATTGTCTAATATTTTAAACTTACAACTATAATAATTATTATTAATTTAATCTTT